TGGCCAGGATTCCGAGGCGAATCCGGCGGTGGCGACGAGGGCCGCCAGGGAGGCCCAAAACGAGGAAAAAACGAGGGGAGAGTAGCCGTAGGGGTGCCTCTTCCTCCTCTGACCTCGGGGATGGACAGACCCCCCTTTAGCAAAACGTGGTTTAGTGAAAACGACCTGAGGCCCAAACCTGGCGGGCGCAAGCCTGGAAAATGACGGCCACGGCGCCCTCTCGAGAACCGAAAACGGACAATTCACTAATCGACGTGTCACTGTTGGGGGTTCTGTCCAGTCCCGATGACCGACGGCCGACGCCGCACGCCGACCGCAGGCGGAGCGACTGCGGCGGCGGCCGACCGACCGCGACGGCGCCGCGGCGGGCGCGGCGCGGCGCGGCGCCTGCCGCCGCGGTAGCCCACCGCCCGCACGGCGGGGCGGGCGGAGGCCGCCTCTGGGCGGCGGCGGCGCCGCGCGGAAGCACGCGGCTCGGCGGACGCCCCCCTCGCGTTGGTTGCTGCCCGGAGCGCCGCCCCCCGGTGGGGAAAGGACTTTTTGTTCGCTGGCGGCGCGCACGAGGGCGTGGAGGGGAGGCGGGGAGCTTCTCGGAGGAGGGGGCTGCTCCTCGGAGAGGGCCTCCTCTTCCTCCTCCTCCTCCTCCTGCTCCTCCCTCCTCCTCCTCCTCCTCCTCCTCCTCCTCCTCCTCCTCCCGCCCTCCACTTCTCCAGACCAGGCCCGCGCCTTCCGAGACGCAGGATTTGCTCCTAACAGGCCTTCCCCCTGCCCCCGCCCCCCTCTGCGCGTGGACGGGTTTGGTGCGCGGGCTTGGTGACTCCTCCTCCTCCTCCTCCTCCTCCTCCTCCTCCTCCTCCTCCTCCTCCTCCTCCTCCTCCTCCTCCTCCTCCTCCTCCCTCTGCCCCCCTCTTGGTGACGGACTGGGACCCCTCTGAGGCAGCCGCTTCTGGGAGCGGCGGCCGGCGCGGACACGGCGCTCGGCGGGCGCTCGCCGAGGATTTTTCTCAGGCGACCTCGCACGAGCACGGCGCCCACGCCACGCAGTCAAAGCCGACAGCATGGACACCTCCGGTCGCGACGTGGGCGGAGCCCGCCTCTGGTAGCGACGCCGCGCGGAAACACCGCTCGGAGGACGCTCCTCGACGTGTTTGCCCAGAAAGGGTACCGAATGATAACGCCACCCCCAGCAATGGGAAGAGGGTTGTCTTGTGCGCAGCTGGTGGACAGATTGGGACCCCAAGCACACTGGGAAAGAAAGCATTCCTCGCCGGCGGGCACCGCCTGCGAGAACGGCGCCCATGCACCAGACCCGACGTTCTTGTTGCTTCAGGGGACTTCGTACGAGCACGGGGCCCATGCACCGTACACTCAAAACCGATAGCAAGGACGCACGGTCAGGATGTCAGACCCCTGGACCATCCAAATTGGACATTCCTGGACGTGGGAAAGGAGAAGGATTGGCCGAAGAGGCAGGGATGCAAGAGTACCGTTGCTGAAGCACTGCTTCCTTACTAACAAATTCGACTGTACCATGTCTGGACTTCCGCCCCCCAGATGGGGTCGGAGGATCGCGCTGCATCGCCGATGCACCGCCGACGCATTGGCGGTGCATCGGCGATGCGTCGGCGACGCATCGCCGCCGTCGGCGTTGCGAGAATCGAGCTCTGCATGGAGCCGCATCGCCGATGCATCGGCAATGAACGATCCTTCGACCCCCTCTACTCGGACCCCATCTGTGAGGCCCAGACCGAAGCCCCCAACGCGGTACAGACCTAAACCTAAGGCCCCCTGCTCGGCTCTGGGGGCCGAAACAAAACACGAGCACCGAACCACTCCTGGGTCGAGGATCGACTGCGCCTCGGGAGAGGCCAACGCGGTACGGTGCACACAAGTCCTCCGCGGCCGTGGCCCTCGACTACAGCGTTTCCCGGGCCTCGGTATTGTACTGGCGTCCTCCCTCGAGCTCGTCGGCGCCCCTGGGGCTTCTGACGCTGACTGGTCTTCTCGCCCACTGGCGTCCCGTGCTTCGGTCCCCGCGTGTTCCCCCCTCGCCATCGCTCGAACGTCCACTTCCCATCAACTGTTCGACGTCGTGCGGTTTTGCTTCCGTTCCGCCAGATGATCCACAGATGCTCCTCGATCTCGCGGCCCCGCGGGGGCGTCGCCCAAAGGCGCGGGGGCCTCGGCACCCCCAAAATGAAGGGGCCCAAGGACACACAAATAAATACACACAAATAAAAAGATTCCCCATATTTTCCCATATTTTCTGGGTTTTTGTCTTCCCCCCCACTTCCCATATTTCCCCATACTTTCCTGGGAATCGACGATTAATTGTGTCTGTGTGTTTGTTCCTCTCCTGACAAAAGGGCTGCTGGCGAGCTGGCGCTCGACGCGTGCGCTCCCCGGCGTGCTTTTGTCCTCGGCCTCTGGGCCCCGAAGAGGGGGCCGCTCTCGGGGAGCCCGCGGGCCAGGAGGGATGGCCCTGGGAGCTGGAGCACTTGGGGGGCCACCTGTGCACCATCTGCATGAATTCCTGCGAGCTTCAGAGCACAATCTCTCGGAGGACGAGGAGGAGGAGGAGGAGGAGGAGGAGGAGGAGGAGGACAAGGTACCCATGCCGCTGCCCTCCCCTCGTGTTCGCCTGTTCCGGCCTCATAGGAGGCCCTCGACGCCACGGCCGGATTCGCCTCGCAATCCTGGTCAGAAGGCACCCCGGGAGAGGTCCGCGGGGTAGCGGTATTGGTACCTTCTGATTTCCCCGCTGTCCGTGGTGCAGGTGCCCGTGCAAGGAGGTCCTGGCGGGGCTGTGGCAACCCAGTGCTCTCGCCCCCCGACCCCAGGTCCCCCGCGCAGCACGGCGAGACTCCTGCAGGCCACGACGGGACCCGAGGAGCATCGTGCGCGTGCACCATCCACCCCTGCAGGTCAGATTTCTGAAACGCTGGTCAGGGTTCAGAATCCGACGCATGCTTGCCTAGGGCTCCCAACTTCGCGCTTCGCGCTCCGCGAAGCGCGAAGCGCGAATAACTTCGCGCTCTCGCGCCGCTCCCCGAAAGGGAAAAAGGGGGGACGAGGAGGCGGGGGCGAAGGAACGAGGACCGCGAAGCGCGAAGCGCGAATAACTTCGCGCCCTCGAGGGCGCCCTTGATTGCAGTCGAGTGAGTCCCAGCGGGGGTGTCCGATGCCAGGATACCCCAGCAACGATCGGACCCACAGGGGCAGCTTTGGCAACTGGCCGCTCCAGCACTTCCCCAGAGGGAGGGGGTCCCAACTTCGCGCTTCGCGCTGCGCGAAGCGCGAATAACTTCGCGCTCTCGCGCCGCCCTCCCAAAGGGAGAATAGGAGGACGAGGAGGAGGGGGGAGAAGGAACGAGGACCGCGAAGCGCGAAGCGCGAATAACTTCGCGCCCTCGAGGGAGCCCTTGCAGAGGGAGGGGGTCGGGACCTCTGAAGCCGCGGACTCTAGACAGAATGACATCGTCGGATGTCTGGGGTCGTCTCCGCGAGGCCCATTGCCGAGAACTTCTGAACACCACGGCGGTCCTCGAATCTTGAGGCCTCCACCTTCGACCATCGGTCCCCGATCGTCGCTGGCGACGACGGACGGGCGACGCTCGTCATCGTGGTGTCGCCCGCAAGTGTCGTCATCTTCGCCCTCGCTCATCGGCGCCACCGCCGTCGCTGGTAGACGGGGTCGTCTGCACGAGGCCAAGGTTCTCACGTCTCCACCTCCGTGGGAACCGATGTCCCAGGGCCCCACGAGGCAACGGATCTACACATGGACATCGTGCCCCCGAGGCCCGAGAATAGCCATGCCCGTCAGCATCGTGGTCTGAATACCTACCAGACAGACTGGACTGTTCCAGCCAAGCGACCCGGTGGGTTCGGACTCCTCTGGAAACGCGTAGACAAGAGGTCAAGATCCAAGGACAACAGCGGGAGCGAGTCCTTCGATCCTCTCCCTGCTATCTTCGATTATCGATCCTCCCCAATCGAACCTCGATCCTCGATCCTCACCCTTCGATCGTCACTCCTCGATCATTGATCATCCCCCCTCGGCTCTCGATCATCGACACTCCACCCTCGATCCTCGGGCGGCGTCCCATCCCAGATTCACTTATGATGGCCATGGGGCCGGGGAAGCCGAAATGGAAGGAACGCGCAGCGCCACCCTGACGGGTACTGAATAAACGGGGAGTGTCTAATAGCCCACGCAGGAGGATGGCGCGTGCTCAACAGCTACGTAATTACATCGTTTCTGTACTTTCCTGCGCGGTGCTGCCTGCAAGTGGGTCCCCATCTCCATGGAGTTCGGCAGTCCGCCGGATGCCCGGCACCATCGATCCACCTCCTTACGTCACACCGACGTTGATCGAAGTGTTCGGCGAATCTGAACACGCTGATCCAAAAAAGAAAGCACACGCACGAACGCAAAACAGGTGGCAGGGTGGGTAGGAGACCTTGCCATTGTTCGTTTCTCTATGCACTTGCTGGTACCTCTGCCTCCCCGTCTATACTTACCCTTCATGGTCCAATCCATCGTCTCTCCTCGATCCACGATTTCCTGTCCTCCTCCTCCTCCTCCTCCTCCTCCTCCTCCTCTTTCTCCTCCTGTTTCGCCCGCGTCTCTTTTTCAGACAACGGGGCGGGCCGACCAGGAAACACGGAAACGAATGCCGACCAAGGCAAGGGGCAGAGACAGGCAGGACAGCGAGGAGCCGAGGAGCGGGAAAGGGAGGGGACAGGGAGGGAGGACGACACGAAAGGACCGACCTGGCCGACAGACGGAGGGACGGAGAGACGGTCAGCAGCAGGACAACGAGGTGGAGCAGGAGTAAAGGGACAAGGGACGGGGAGCCGCATGAGGCGGAGGAGAGACAGGGGAAGGGGAGGGCGCCTGGAGAGAGTGAAACCCAGATCCCACTCTGTCCAGAGGAGCTGAGGGGGAGAAGGAGGCGGGCGATCGCGGAGGGGCGGACAAGGCTGAGATCTATATTTCAGTTGTTCCTGGTCCGTGGACTCGCTCCCGACGAGCACGACGACGAGAAAGAGAGGGAGGGAGGGGTGAAGAGGGCTGCAAGGGCGCTCACTCCGCCGACATCTTCTGCCCCTCGCGCCCGGGCCCGACGTCGTCGGCGCGCCCGAACGCTGCCGCACAGGTCTCTCCTCTGGGGGCCCGGCTCAGCAGCCTGCCCCCCGGCAGGACGGCGTCGATGGCGGAGCACCGCAGCGTGCGCGAGACGCGGCCAGCCCTCAGTCGGGCGCGCACGTCCGACAGGTCATCGGCGGGAGCCGCCGGGACTCGGCCGAACTCCTCCCCGCCAAGGGTCAGGAACTGCACCGAGGCTCCGTCGAAAGACGCCTGCAGGAGCAGCGTTGGCAGCGCTTGCGGCTGCGTGTAGCTCAGGCCCTCGCCGAGCGCGGGGACGTCGCACTGCCCGTACTCATTGCAGCCGCAGGCCGCGGCCGTCCCATCGCTCCTCAGCAGGACGGTGTGCGTGCCACCCGCAGCGACCTGCGTGCAGGTGAGGCCCTCGCCGAGCGCGGGGACGTCGCACTGCCCGTACTCATTGCAGCCGCCGCAGGCCGCGGCCGTCCCGTCGCTCCTCATCAGAACAGTGTACCTGACGCCCGCAGCGACCTGCGTGTAAGTCAGGCCCTCGCCGAGCGCGGGGACGTCGCACTGCCCGGCGCCATAGTAGCCGCACGCCGCGGCCGTCCCGTCGCTCCTCAGCAGGACGGTGTGCGCGCCACCCGCAGCGACCTGCGTGTAGGTGATGCCCTCGCCGAGCGCGGGGACGTCGCACTGCCCGCAGTCATTGCAGCCGCACGCCGCGGCCGTCCCGTCGCTCCTCAGCAGGACGGTGTGCGCGCCACCCGAAGCGACCTGCGTGTAGGTGAGGTCCTCGCCGAGCGCGGGGACGTCGCACTGCCCGTAGTTATAATAGCGGCCGCACGCCGCGGCCGTCCCGTCGCTCCTCAGCAGGATAGTGTGCTCGTCACGCGCAGCGACCTGCGTGTAGGTCAGGCCCTCGCCAGGCGCGGGGACGTCGCACTGCCCTCGGTCATTCAAGCCGCAGGCCGCGGCCGTCCCGTCGCTCCTCAGCAGGACAGTGTGCGCGTAACCCGCAGCGACCTGCGTGTAGGTCAGGCCCTCGCCGAGCGCGGGGACGTCGCACTGCCCGAAGTCATTCCAGCCGCAGGCCACGGCCGTCCCGTCGCTCCTCAGCAGGACGGTGTGCGTGTGACCCGCAGCGACCATCCTCCAGCCGAGAGGTGCTGGCCGACACGGGCCTGGCGGGCGATCGAGCCTGAAGCAGCGGACGATCAGGAGGACAGGGAGGGAGGACCTGGACTGAGTCTCAGGTGCTGCTTATATGATGGGAGGGCGGGTGGGAGTGGGCGAGACAGCTTGCAGCGATCCCGTTGCAAACTTGACAGTTCTCCCTGCCTCCCCCCGCTCCCTCCCCTGAGTCTGGTCAGAGTGTTTGGTGGGACGTTGGAGCGTCCAAGATGGCCCCAGGCAGACCAATCTGGCCTCGAAGATCGCACCACATACCCCAAGATGGCTTGCTTTGCTTCCAAGATACCCCAAGATCGGCCTAAGACCGGCCCGGTTGGCCACGGAGCTCCCCAAGGACGCCCCCGATCCTTCCGAGCCCTGGGGCGCATCAAATGCGTACGACGACGAGGCCCTGGGGCCCCCACTCACCCTCCTCCTCCTCCGCCGACTCGTCTTCCTCTCCTGAACTGGCACGCAGCGAGATGCACGTCAAGCGCCTTGCACGAGGTGAGCTCGCACAGAGTCACCGCTCATTGCGCCGAAGGCGCGTTCAGCCCCGCCCCGTCTGCCAGCGGCCCCGCGCTTCTCCGCGCGGCCAGCGCCTCCTTCCACTCGCGCCCCCGAGGTGGGCCAAGGCCCGCCGCGATTCTACACCCTGCGAAATGCTTTAGAAATCATGGGTTAAGAAACTCATAGTCTCAGACTTTGAATAAAATCCAGAATGTCTACTCAGATCTTAGGATCTACATTGAAACGTTAAGAATAATCGAGACTCTGGCCGAAAACTTGGGTTTTCTTAAGCATCGCCTAGAGTGTATCGCAAAGACTTCGGCTCCGAAGGGGCTTCCGCGATCCTGGACGTCGCGGCCGCCGCCGGGGCACCAGCGCCGCCGTCGCCCGACGGGTGGCCTGGCAGAAACCATCGCGCACAGGTCGCGCGTCGGCGATCGCGGGCCAACGCCAGGAGGAGGAGGAGGAGGAGGAGGAGGAGGAGGAGGAGGAGGAGGAGGAGGAGGAGGAGCAGGCCGGTGCCTCTTGTCGAGGTCGCGAAGGACGCGCGCCCGCGCCGCCTGTCGGGCCAGACCTGTTTCACAGCAGCAGCGGCCTCGAGCACGCGCTCGTCGCAGCGCCGCGCCTCGTCGCTCGACCGCCTGGAAGGCGCGGCGCGCGCGGAATCACTCACCCCACCAGCGGTTACGCAGCGCGCCGACACATGGCGCGTCACCAGCGGGTCCTGGAGGTCGGCCGGAAACTGGATGATGCCCTGCTGCATCTGCTTCGAAGCGCAGGGCCGGGCCGCACGCTGCATCGCCCACTGGGGACAGGAGCAGGTCGCAAATCACGTCTGCAAGGATGTCGCACCCCAAGGCCACCAACTCGGCGAAGCCAATCGTGCCGAAAACGCCGGCGAATGGGACCGCCTGCAAGGCGGGGGAGCGAAGGCCCATCGCCAGCATCACATCTTCGAGATGCGCGAGGGCTCGGAGCACCTCTGCAGAAGGCCCCGCGATGTGCTCGTCATCGGCGAAGCGGGGGGCCATGTCGAGAGCGACTGAGGGGACCAGGACAGGCAGCTGCGCTGCCATGCAGGAGAGGCGGCCTGCGCTCGTCGGGCGGCGCCTCCGGGCACTCCTGGAGCATGATGACCGCTGATGACCGCGATGTCGAAGCACGCCTTCTCCGCCCGGGCAGCGCGGCTGCCGTCGGAAGGGTGTGTCGCCAGAGCACAGTGCGGAGCGACGAGGACGTCGGCCATCCTGCACTCGTCGGGCGGCTCCTCTGGGCACTCACGGAGCAAGCCTCGGACCTCGGACTCCAATTGCAATCCGCCTCGGCACGCGTTAAAGACGTCGCGGACGGCGTCGCGCGCGCCCGCGGTTTCAGGGCCCCCCATGCAGGAGAGGCAGTGGGCTCACTGGGCATCCAAGGCAAGCCGGCACAAAAGACAAGTGGATCCCGCCTCCAAGACATCGACATCGAGCCAGGGCGCGACGTCGTCGATGAACTGGCTCGTAGCGAGATGCATGTCAAGCGTCTTGGAAAGGTTGAGCTCGCACAAATTTAACGCTCTTTGCGCTGAAAGCGCGTTCAGTCCCGCCCCGTCTGCCAGCGGCCCCGCGTCTCTCCGCGCGGCCTCCGCTTTCTTCCCAACCGCTCCCCCGAGGTGCGTCTGGGAAGCCTTCAGGAAGGCCAAAGACCCCCAAGAGCCCTCAGGAGGCCCCCAAGGTGCCCTCAAGGAACGCCTGGACGCCCCCCCTAATGCCCCCCCGAGCACGCCTTCAAGTGTCCGCGATACTACACATGGGCCGGCGGAAAGAGCGAAGCGATGAAATAATCAGAAAGGGAACCCAACTCCTGCATGGTGCCCTAGAGCCCTCCCAGATTGGGGTCCGAGTAGACGCGGTTGGAGGATCGCACCGCGTCCACGATGCATCGCCGAAGCGAATCGGCAACGTCGGCGTAGATCGGGATCTACATCAAGCCGCATCACCGATGCATCGGCGACGCGGCGCGATCCCCCGACCCCATCGTCTGTCGCAAATCATGGGAGCCTACCATGCCATCTTGCTAGCACTTGTGAATCGAACCTAACCGACACTAATCGGCGCTGAATCGAGCCTAGTCGCCGCAAAATCGGCGCTTTCTCATCGATCACCAGACGATAGCGCACGCAAATGCACTCAAAGACGGAATTTAGAGGGCGCACAAGGCTCCCATGACTTGCTGCGACACCATCTACGAGGGAACAAGCAATGCCACAAACATAAAAACTCTGAGATCCGCGCGGAGTCCCCAAAAGATCGCTGGAGCCCCCCAAGCGGCTCCTCCGGCGCCGCCAATGGCGTGCTCCGCGCGCCAGGGAGGGAATCCAGCGCCGATCTGAGAAATCTGCGCGGACCTCCGAGTTTGTATGTTTCGAGATTGTATGTGTATGTCATTGGTTGCTCCTCTAACACAAGGCTCCCATGATCTGCTGCCGAACCCCATCTACTCGGACAAAATTTGGGAAGGCTTAGAGATCCTCGATCCTCAATGGGCGTTGTCAGTTGACTGACCAGGTCACTCCTTTGGAGGGGACCTGCGTTAGGAGGGCCAGTAACGTCAGGAATAGGGGGTCCTTTCTGCAGATGTATCGAACCAAACCGCCCAGAATTATCATCCCTAATGCGAAGACGGGGACCTCAGTAAGGCTGCGTGTTCATCGTGTTATTATGGTTAGGGGGTCTTTGATCATCAATGAGTAATGGGTGGCGACAAGGCAGGGGGAGAGGGAGAACCATGCGCCTCTCGTGCCCCCTCTGGGCCCCTTGGGACGCCACACAACATGCACCTTTATCCAAACCCCCCATTGGATCGCCCACCGCAATGCTCAGACCCCCGACGGCATGGTTGTTTCATGACGTCGACTCCCCGGAGGACTCGCCCTAGGACACCACCACAGAAAATGCACTTTTCTCCACCCCCTCGTCGGATCGCCCCCCCCAAAACCCAGACCCCCGACGTCCTGGTTGCTTCATGACGTCGACTCCCCGGAGGACTCGCCCTAGGACACCACCACAGAAAATGCACTTTTCTCCACCCCCTCGTCGGATCGCCCCCCCCAAAACCCAGACCCCCGACGTCCTGGTTGCTTCATGACGTCGACTCCCCGGAGGACTCGCCCTAGGACACCACCACAGAAAATGCACTTTTCTCCACCCCCTCGTCGGATCGCCCCCCCCAAAACCCAGACCCCCGACGTCCTGGTTGCTTCATGACGTCGACTCCCCGGAGGACTCGCCTTAGGACACCACCACACAAAATGCACCTTTCTCCACCCCCTCATTGGATCGCCCCCCCCCAATTCCCAGACCCTCAACGGCATGATTGCTTCATGACGTCGCCTCCCTGGAGGACTCGCCTTAGGACACCACCACACAAAATGCACTTTCCTTTACCCCCCCATTGGTCGCCTCCCCTTTCCCAGAGCCCCGACGTCCTGGTTGTTCCATCGGGGGGCCGGCTTCGCCTCCCGAGTCCTTCTCCGAGGACCGCCAGGCCGTGGGAGGGGCCCCCGCGAGGCCGAGGACTGCGAAAAGCCTCCTGTCGCGAGCTGTTCCATGACGCGAGCACGTCTGGGATCTGAGCAGGGGCCAGCCGTCCCGGCATTCCTACTGGCGTACCACGGCATGTCCTCAGAACAAAAGATGGTTCGTGGGTTCTTATGGCATGAAGCCGACGGCTTGAAACACGGTAGGCCCAGCAAGGAATGTTCCAAGAATATGTCGCGCAAACCACAAGAGGCTCTTAGAACATCCTCTGGTGGACCTCAAAGCAAGCCAGGACGCTTCGCCACTGCCTGATGGGTTACGGAGCGCCCGGGGACCTGCACGGCGATGAGGACGACGACGACGTCGTCGCCACCGTCGTCGTCGTCGTCGTCGCCTTCGTCGTCGTCGTCCTCGTCGTTGTCGTCGTCATCGTCGTCGTCGTCGTCGTTGACGTCGTCGTCGTCGTTGACGTCGTCGCCGCCGCCGCCGCCGCGGTCGTCGTCGTCGTCGTCGTCGTCGTCGTCGTGGTCGTCGTCGTCGTCGTCGTCTTTGTCGCCGTCGCTGCCGTCGCTGCCGCTGCCGACGCCGCCGTCGTCGACGTCGTCGTCGTCCTCGTCGCCGTCCTCGTCGTCGTCGTTGCCGCCGCCGCCGCCGCCGTCGTCCTTGTCTTCGTCGTCCCCGTCGGGAGCTCGCGCCGTCGGGGTGCCTCTGCCCCGAGACTGGCCGGCGGCCCCGCGGCGCCGGCGGCCCGCGGCCAGGGGCGCGTGCGGCCCGGCCCCTCGGGCGGCGGGTCCGAGGTGGCGGCCTCTGCAGAGCGACGACGAAACATCGTCCTGCTCCTCCTCCTCCTCCTCCTCCTCCTCCTCCTCCTCCTCATCATCATCATCATCATCATCCTCCTATTCCTCCTCCTCCTCCTCCACCTCCTCCTCCTTCTCCTCCTCCTTCTCCTCCCCACCCGCCGGAGGGGGAGGAGGGTCTTGCGGTCGAAACCCACACGGCCAGACCTCGGACAAGAGAATATCTAAGACGAAGCCAGGACGAGGATATTCGGGTGAGGATGCTAGTCCCCCTAGTAAATCGAGAATCGATGAGATCCTCTACGATCCGGTGGCTCTTGAGACGTATCGGACACGCGGCCTTCGCAGAGCGTTCTGGCACGCTCTGGCACGGATGCATCCTCGTCCTAGCCCCGCCCAAACATTTGTTCAAAACCATGAGACCCTCCGCTGGCCAAAACAAGATCGCCGAGAGTACCCTCCCCAAGGATGCACAAAAACATCCAACAATCACGAAAGACATTACTGTACCCTCCCCGAACCGACCTTGATCTTAAACCTCGGTCCGACCGTAATCCCACCAGCCCTCTGGGCGTATGTGGTCTAATAATTTATCCTGGCGAAGGACCCAACCATATGAAGTTGTGGGTACCGCAATTGTGAATACCTTTTTCGGTGAAGTTCCCTATTGGGCCACGAAGCGCTGCGCTGGACGGGGGGGAACGCATGCGGGCGGAAGCGCTGGGGCCGTCGGTTAAGCTCCCTATGAGGCCACGAAGCGCTGCACTGGGTGGGTGAAAATACCAAATTAGGTGTGGGACGCATGCGGGCCGTCCCATTGGGGACTTCGGTGGAGCTCCCCTATGGGGCCGCGAAGCGTTGTAAAGGGTGGGTGAAAATGCCAAATTCGGTGTGGGGGACGCATGCGGGGGGGGCCCACTGGGGGCCAAATTAGGTGTGGGGGACGCACTCGGGCGGTCCCACTGGGGGCTTCAGTGGAGCTCCCTATGGGGCCACGAAACGCTGTACTGGTGGGTGAAAATGCCAAAATGGGTGTGGGGGACGCATGCGGGCGGTCCCACTGGGGCTTCGGTGGAGCGAGCTCCCTATGGGGCCACGAAACGTTGTACTGGGTGAGTGGAAATGCCACATTGGGTGTGGGGGACGCGCTCGGGCGGTCCCACTGGGGGCTACGGTGGAGCTCCCTATGGGGCCACGAAACGTGTGAGGGATGTGCCGAAATGGATATGGGGGACGCATGCGGGCGGTGGAGATGAGGGGGAGGAGGAGGAGGAGACGAGGAAAGGAACGCGGGGACCGTCTCTTCAAAACGATGACCCAACACCACAGGGCGGTTGGGAATTATTCTGGCGAAGGACCCAACAATATGCAGTTGTGGGTACCACAATTTTGAATACCTTTTTCGGTGAAGTCCCCTCTGGGGCCACGAAACGCTGTACTGGGTGGGGGGGGAACGCATGCGGGCGGTAGCACTTGGGCCGTCGGTGGAGCCCCCCATGGGGCGGTCCCACTGGGGGCTTCGGTGAAGCACCCTATGGGGCCACGAAGCGCTGCGCTGGGCGGGGGGGGAAAGCATGGTGTGCCAAATTGGGTACGGTGGTGCCATGCGAACCCTCACACTGGCGCCTCCGGTGGAGCTCCCTATGGGGACGCGAAGCGTGTGAGGGGTGTGCCGACTTGGACGCAATGGCGCCATGCGAACCCTCCGACTGGAGCCTCCGGTGGATCTCCCTATGGGGCCACGAACCGTGTAAGGGGTGTGCTGAAGTGGGCACGATGGTGCCATGCGAACCCTCCCACGGGAGCCCCTTATGGGGACACGAGGTATGTGAAGGTTGTGCCAAATTGGGCGCGGTGGTGCCATGCGAACCCTCCCACTGGAGCCTTCGGTTGAGCTCCCTATGGGGCCACGAACCGTGTGAGGGGTGTCCCGGATTGGGCGCGGTGGTGCCATGCGAACCCTCCCACTGGAGCCTCCGATGGAGCTCCCTATGGGACCACGAAACGTGTGAGGGGTGTGCCAAATTGGGTGCGGTGGTGCCATGCGAACCCTCCCACTGGCGCCTCCGGTGGAGCTCCCTATGGGGACGCGAAACGTGTGAGGGGTGTGCCGACTTGGACACGGTGGTGCCTTGCGAACCCTCCCACTGGAGCCTCCGGTGCAGCTCCCTACGGGGACACGAACCGTGTGAGGGTTGTGCCGAAGTGGGTGCGGTGGTGCCATGTGGACCCTTCCACTGCAGCCTTCGGTTGAGCTCCCTCTGGGGCCACGAGCCATGTGAGGGGTGTACCAAATTAGGTAAACCCTCCCACTGGAGCCTTCGGTAGCCCTATGGGGCCATCCCACTGGAGACTTCGCTGGAGCTCCCTATGGGGCCACGAAACGTGTGAGGGGTGAGCCGAATTGAGCGCGGTGGTGCCATGCGAACCCTCCCATTGGAACCTTCGGTGGAACTCCGTATAGGGCCAGGAAACGTGTAATTTATGGGTGTGCCGAGATGGTGGACATGCGGAGGTCAGAGGCACAGAGGCCTCAGGAGGAGGAGGAGGAGGAGGAGGAGGAGGAGGAGGAGGAGGAGGAGGAGGAGGAGGAGGAGGAGGAGAGGAAGGAAGGAAGGAATGAAGGAAGTAACGCGGGGCGCTGTCTCTTCAAAAACGAGAGCCCAACACCACAGGATGGTTGGTAAAAAACATCGGATGATGTCTGGGAGGCGGGACCAGCTCCGAGGGGAAGACTTCGAGCAACATCGAGAATACATCGCCGATGGGCAGGCGACGTCGGCTCCCAACAGCGAAACCATACGTTCCTGCGGGCAGGGTGGGCTATCGGGCCCCCCTCGGCGATGCCTGGGCGACTGGGGGTCGATGCCTCCCCCGCTGGGCCCGTCCCCCTTATCCTTGCCCCGGAGCCTCCGCGGCGGCTCCGCCGGCGTCGTGCATGCCCAGCTGGTCGGCCTCTCTTGCTTGGGCAACGTTGAACTTTCAGTCGAGGCCCCGAGGGTCGAGGTGTTGCTGCGTTCTGGGCCGACCCCGTGGGCCAACCCCCCTCGCATCGATAACCATAATGCACTCCGTTGTCGGCCTTCGGGCCTGGCAACCCTCACTGGGCACCTGGACCGTCAGAACACAGCGGGATGAAAACTGGTCCCGCGGAAGTGGTCGAGATTTCCAAGAGGTCCACGTGGAACCCATCAACGCGGACGGTTCCTTGCAATAGTTCGCCTCGGACCTGGTGGCCGTCAAACTGTGGCTCGGGATGGAAAAACAGCCCCGGGGAAATAATCGAAAATTCCACGACCCGCGATGAAAAAAACACAACGCTGGAGGTCTGGGGATCTATCGAGACAGCCAGAATTTCCTCGTCTCCAGCCCCAAGAGGCCGTTTCCGTGCACCTGGGAGCCGTCATGAAACAGGCCCCGGAAAAGGGGTTCGAGATCGGCCTGCTGCGCCGTCTGGAACCAGCCGAAGACGTCGAGGTACAGCACCGACCTGAAGGCGGTGGGCAGCACCGTGCTCTCCTCGACACGAGTGGCGGACGTGTGATGTGACATTGGGGTACCATGTGGGACCTGCAGACGGATCTGTCCATTCTCCGTCTTGTATGTACCTGCAGACGGACCTGCCGAAACGCAACGGCCGCGTTGTATGTAGGCGCATCCGCCCCGAGAATGTCTACATGCGTATCGATGCCCAGTGTGTCTATGGACGCTTGTGGCTGAAACGTTGGAACGGTACCTGGCACAGGCCTTAGATATTCATCCCCTGGAAGCAAATGCACTTCGCCCTCCAAGGCAATCGCGTCCGTGTCCGCGTCCGTGCTTTCGGGGTCCAGGGGCCGAAGCAAAGCCCCACGCCTGCGCGGTCCCGCGGATGCGTTCCGCGCGG